ATAATATATTTAAAACACACAAGACAAAACAACTGGATCTAAATAAAGTCCCTTATCTGGCCCAAACATGTACTTTTTTTTTTTTACCTTCTAAATGATGGAAGACGTCGGATGTTTTCACATTGGTTAACCGATAAAAATTTTATTCTTCTCTTGGCATCTGGGAGACTGCAGCACAGAACACTCAAGGGCTGGGAATAAAAATGTTCTAACAGAGAAAGCTGAAAGAAATGTGATATTAAATATATTTATTATATTTTGGTAGTACTTGTTTCATATTTGCTCAATTGTAAGGCTTTTTTAAAAAGCAGAAGTATTATAGCACTAATAATATATTTAATAATGTCACAACACTGTAAGCAATACATAAATGGCTATATGCCTCTAATATTTCTAAAGCTCCAATTTTGAGGACTAGGTCAAAATGGCAATCTCAATAAACAAACTAAAAGAAATTAACATGAGTGGATAGATAAGCTATCTGCAGAAGCAACTCACAATAACTGAGTTGGTTCTTTGAAAGATTACATAAAACAGAAAACCCTTAGCTAACCTAAACAAAAGAAAGGAAAGTTCCAAATCCATATAGTCAGGAATGAAAAGGGTGAAATAAAAATGAATCCTGTAGAAATCCAAAATATCATCAGCACCTACACTTTGAGAACCTGTATTCTAATAAGATGGAAAATTCTGACGAAATGGAGAGATTCCTAGTCACATATGAATTACCAAAACTGAATCAAGAACTTATAAAAATAATAAAAAATCCAATATCAATCAATGAAACTGAAAAAATAATATAAAAAGTACCAACAAAGAAAAGCCCAGGTCCTGACAGATTCACTGCTGAATTCTACAAGAACTTTAAAGAAGATCTAATGCCACTTCTCCTCAAATTCTTTAATGAAATTGAAAGAGAAGCAATACTTTCAAATGTATTCCTGGAAGCAAGCATTACCCTGATACCAAAACCAAAGAAAAGTCCAACTAAAAAAAGAGAACTACAGGCTAATCTTAATGAACATAAATGCAAAAATCCTCAATAAGACACCCACAAGAGAATGGAACATATCATCAAAAAGATTATACACCATGACCAAGTAAGATGAATCCCAGGGAAGTAAGGATAGTTGAACATATGCAAATCAATAAATGTAATATATATTAACAGACCCAAGGACAAAAACCACACAATCATCTTAATAAATACATAAAAATGTTAGACAAAGTCCAACACTCATTTGTGATAGAAAAAAAAAATCCTAAAGAAAACTGGAATAGAGGTCTACAAAAATATTTTTGGGGCCAGGGATTTAGCTCAGTGGTTCCCCTGCAAGAACCCGAGTTTGATCCCCAGTTCCAAAAAAAAAAAAAAAATTATAGTCCATGTTGAAAAACAACACACATTAGCCAGTAGAAAAAATTAAGTGTTTTATATGGAGGAAAAATACCTAAGAGAAATAATTTATAATCTTAAAAGCACTTTACTATACTTAAAAGTACAGTATATATACTTAAAAGCACTGTATTATCCTATTACACTTTTGAACTAAAGGTACCGATATACAGGTTTTAATAAACTTGACAAAAAGCATGTGTTCACAATGACTAAACTTTGCTAAGGTAATTTAAGTAACTGACAAAAAAAGAAATAATATTAAACTTTAAACATCTAGAGAATGTGAGTCTTTTGTGTTAGAGCAAATGTTAAGTTAAATTCAAGAATTGGCTTCTGATAATTCATGTAACTGTAAGGAAAATGATTCTTGATATCAGAACACATAACATACATAAATACACATATGTTCAAGGGTCATCAAATTCTAGATACAATCTGTTTTTCTATGTCCCAGGAACTATGAACATTTTTTATTTTACATTCTTAAAGGGATATTAAAAGAGAGGCAGCAGTAACAGTGACCACATGTGGCATGTAAAACTAAAAATATTTATTCCTAGCCCATTACAGAAGTTTCCTGACCACTAACACAGGGCACTTCTTAGGTAGAAACACCATAAGATCTCCTCAAGTTCTTAAAAAAAGTCCTTCCATCCAGTCCATCCCCAAAATGTTTAAGAATCACTGCAAGAGAGCTCCTTTCCAATATTGTTATTCTAATTAATGCCTTCTCCACATTTTGCTGCAAAGTCGTGGTAGAACCTTGAATAAAATAATTAGAATTCATTGTACTTATTCTAGAATTTGTCATTTAAAATGATTTAATTATCATAGTAAACAGTCTGAAAAAACATTCAAATTGTTTAGAATCACTTTAGAATTAAGGTGTTTTTAAACACCTTAATGTCTTCTTACCTGAAGTCCTTTTACAAAGTTTTGAATTGAGAAATCATGATATAAAAAGATGTTGGTCAGAACCTGTAACACTTTCTCACTTATTTTAAAGGGAAATTGAGTTGTAAGAAGTAGCTGAAAGAGATTAAGGGTGGGGAGGTAGACATTCTTTGTTACTCTTGACTTTTCATAAATATGAAGTACAAATAATATGGCAAATATGAAATATCTAGTTTTTCATAGGTCAAACATCAACCAAAATTTTAACTGAATTTATTCTAGTGTAACAACAAAAAGTAGCAATTCATACTATATATCCTCAGAACCAAAGATGTCCACCATCCTCAAATTTCTAATTTTTAAGAACACTTCCTATTAACTATATAAAATTATTTTTCTTCATACCAGAAGCCACTAAAAAATCTGCGCCTTTGATAATTTTTGAGAAAGATTTCTTTCTCATCTCTTCGGATTCAAGTTAATACAGAAAGATAATTATGTACTTAGTTGAAAGAGAAACAAAATTAATAATTTTTATTTTTAAAATTTAGAATAAATTTAAATTATTTGGTTAATTTTCAATGGTTTACAGTAATGTTCTACAACTTAAAATAAAAAAGTCATACAACTCCCCTGACAAGGGGAAAATGAATCCCAAAGCTATATCCCCAACATTAAAAAAAAAAAAGATTCTATTTTGAGATAAGGTCTCATTAAATCATCCAGCTAGTTCTTGAACTTGTGATTTTTCTGCCTCCACCTCTCTAGTAGTTGGTTTTACAGGCAAGTGCTACCACTCCTGGCTCATATTAGGCTTCTTAAAAAGAAAAAAGGATAATGACAGAAGGCAACTGAATTTGACTATGACCATGAAGTGTTAAATATTATAGGTGAAAAAATTTTCCAGAAAGGGTCAACAGATCAGGTGACTATCACTTTTATGGAAAAAAGGGTATGGTAAAAGTGGCTAATAAATAAGTGAATGGGTTGTCATAGTTTATTTTATACAACCAACATACATACAGTTTAAGAGTATAGGAAAAATTTGTTCAAGTTCAACATATTTTTCCAGGCAAAATACTCATACCTGTAATTCCAAGGGAGGCTGATGTGAGAGGATTATAACACTGAGGTCAACCTGGGTAATTTAGTGAGATCCTGTTCTCAAAATTAAATAAAGGAAGGATGGATGGACAAAGGACAGGTGGACTGGGGATGTAGCTTAGTGGTACAGTACCCCTTATGTTCAATTCCCAAAATCATCTCCACAAAAAAAGAACTGCACTTCTTTTTTAGATAGAAACATTATGGTAACTAAGATCTGAGAAATTTTTAGTATTTATTTGTTGTCAAGAGCAGCAAGACAGTTTAAAGAAAAAGTTCACTACAAACTCCCAATCATTTTATATAAAATGTAAGATCAAAACACATTGATAGTGTTACTAAGTCTACAAATCCTGTACAAACTTATTCTAAAAGTCTATTTTTCACTGAATAATAAAAGATAGATATAAATATACAGATATACCCATTTTTTTATGAAGTTTGTATTTTATCTGAAGAGACAATTCTATTAAAAAAATCATTCTAAGACTACAGAGTCATTACACAAAAATATTAAAATATGTAAAGGAATAGTATAATACTCTAAGAAATAGAGGTTTATCATTAACCTTTGTATGTACAGTATATTTCTGGCAGTTTTATTTTCATCCTAGGTCACTTGTAACACTTTTTCTTTTTACCTTGTCAAGGACTGTAGTCAGGTGCTCTTTGCAAGACAAAGATTGGAATAGTTCTATACACAATAGAGATGAGACTGCATGTGGAAGCAATCGGTGGATGATAATAGGAGATGTGGCGATTCCAAAAACTAATATTAGTGGGAATTCATGTAGATGTTGACTAGTTTTCAAAAAGATGCAAAAGGTGAAATTCCTTTAGTAAATGTATTTCAATACATCACATTTCAAGACATGACCAGCTTTATTTTAATGTCTACTTTATAAGAGTGCTGATGAGCATCATTCCAAAATACAGTATTCTCTAGGTGATTCATTTTTCTGGTTATGTAGTTCAAACCTTGTTATTTCTCATTCTAGTTCTGAAATCAATTAATTAGTGTATCCTTAAAAAAATTTTTTTAACAGCTCTAGGGATTGAACCCAGGGCTTTTACACCGAGCTACATAGTCTTGGGAGAAAGGTAGTCTTTTTTGTCAAAGAGGATATTTAGAGAAAATCCATTTTATACAAATCTCTATTTTTCTGCAAAATCCTATTTTTTATAAAATGTATGTGTGCTTGCTTCACCATTCCTTAGAAAAACAACTTAAGACAGGGCCATGCGCCATTCCATCTGGCATAAATTTTGTGTGTAACTAAGCAATACCTGAGTCACAGGATCTGTTCTGTTCAGCAACTAGGACACCTTAAGCAGTAGCCAACTGGGTTAGACTGTAAGGCCATGCCTCATACCAAGGGGGCACAGCATAATGACAACAGTAGGTCAGGACATAAAAACCCAGCAGACTACGTGTATGCTGGCTAGCTTTGTTTTAGCTTGGGCAAGCACTTTTCTGCAGAAGTAAAGCCTTGCTGAGATACTCCCAAGGTTTGTTTCTTTGTTCTGTTTGTGACACCAGAAATTTTGTGTCTAACAATTTCTAGGCCTTTGTTAGTTTAGTTTTTTTTTTTTTTTTTTTCCAGGAATCAAACCTGTGTCCTTGCGCTTACAAGGCAGGTGGTGGGACCACTGAACTAAATCCCCTACCCCCTTTGTTAGTTTTTGAGACAGTGTCTTCCTAAGTCACTAAGTTGCCCAAGCTAGGCTCAAATTTGTCATCCTCCTGCCTCTGCTTCCCAAAGTGCTAGATTACAGGGTATATCACCATGTCTGTATCCTTTCAACGTATAAACAGGTCTACAGAGATTCTGAAAGATCAAGTGCCTTACCTAAGGGTATCCAACTTTAACTGTTCTAAGATGTGTTAGATAACATTCAGTTAACTTCTCATCTACAGTTTGGCCTACAGTATTCCTCATAATTAGCCATCCACTCTATGCTTTCAGAGTTCAATGACACGAAGACCATTAATTTTTCAAAGGAATGCATTCCATTTACAGTCATCTGATAAGACACTATGTTACCCAGCCATAATAGCCAAGAGTTAGAACTTTGCTTACACATACATAAAACACTGGTGTATTGTGTGTAAGTGTGTGTGTGTGTGTGTGTGTGTGTGTGTGTGTGTGTGTGTTTGAGAGACAAAGAGGGAGTATCCAGGCTGGCCTTGAACTTGTGACCCTCCTACTTTGGGCTCCCAGAATGTTGGGATTACAGCATGTGCCACTGTGACTAGCTATAAGGTATCTTCTTATTTTATTATTTTGGTACCAGGGATTGAACTTGGGACCTTGCACTTGCGAGGCAGGTGGTGGCACCACTGAGCTAAATCCCCGGCCCAGGTATCCTTTTTTTTTTTTTTCCTCATTGAGTTTATTGGTACATTTTAGGTATACAGTACAGTTACATTCATCATTGGGACCTTGTACCTTTACATGACAGGTCTTGGTTCTCATTTTTTCCCCTTGTCCCTGCCCTCCCTTCACCCCTCCTCCCCTCCCCAGGTATCTTTTTAATGTACATCATTAAAAAATGTTATATCCCTTCTTTCATTCTTATCTCAAGAATATTAAACACAAAGGACTTCTATAGAGTAAAACAGTACTATTTTTAAGGGCCATTGCAAGTCAGAGTCATCTGTACCATAGTTGTTCTTTTTTCCTGTTCTCTCCTGTTAGTGACTGTTCTTTAGTATTTCAGTTGTTTTCAGTTCCACCTTCAATAGCTGTAAAGCACCTGGATTCTCTTATTAAGTTTCTTTAATTAATTTATTTATTTATTGGTACCAGGGATCGAACTCGGGTCCTTGTGCTTCTAAGGCAGGTGGCAGAACCATTGAGCTAAATCCCCAGCCCAAGTCTTTTTTTATTTTTGATAGTTAAAGTAGTCCTAAATCCTGGCTCCTAAAAAGAGAGGGCTTTTAAATTTTTTTATTTTTTTTTCACTTACACTTTACCGTGCACTCTCCCATCATAATAAGCAGTTCATGTTAGCATTAAGATAAGCCCTAGAACAGGGAGGGCCTGGGGAATGGCTCAGTCAGAGAACTTGCCTCTCATTCATGAGGCCTTAGGTTCAATTACCAGGACATCTCCCACTTAAAACCATTTAAAAACAGTCTTAGGATCTAGATCTGTGAGTAGATAGGGGAAAACAACCTACACTATCAAAATAATAATTTTTAGTGTTAGTAAATTGTAATTCAAATAGTGTTTAAGCAACTGTAGCCATAACTAAGAAGGCAAGTTGACATATAAAAGATGCCAAAGTACATTCATTATATTCCAAAAGATATATACCACAGGAAATGCGTGGGATGTGATTTTTAAAATAAGGTTACTTTAATTCTGACTTCTACAGTATTGCCTGGAAGATCCAATGATACTGTGAAGTTTCTCACTAAAAATATTGTATGAAATGATTTTATTTAGAAAATATTCTTGCTTAGTAAAGCTAAATCCAACTTTGAGCTATTCTATAGTAAAAGAAAATAAGGCCCAATAAAAGTATCTCAATCTGTAACAGTTTACTCATTTAATGGGCAATAAGACACAGGCAACTCTGATAAGATAAACTATATTTTATACCACATTATTATGTTAGTTAAAAATAGGCTAGTAATCCGGAAAGCTCAAGCAAAAGGACTCCAAGTTCAAGTCCAGTCCACTCCACAGAACTCAGTGACTTAGTGAGAGAGAACTTGTCTCAAAATATTTAAAAGGGGGGAGGGGCTGGGAAGGTAGCTCTGTGTGAAGACCCTACGTTCAGTCTGCAATACTAAATGGCAGGGAGTTGGGGTAAGGGTGGGGGAATGGGAAGTGAGGAACAGGCTAAGTGTCTTTCTCACTCTTGGGTCAAAAACCAAATGACAACTCTTAATAGGAGGTCTTTTAACATTCAATTATAAAGGACTTAAAGCAGTCTAAATTCCATTCAATTGACTTTAAAATGATTATGCTTAACTGAAAAGCAGAATTTTCTTAAAAGAGAATTTTGCATAAAAGTCAAGTGACACACCAACTACCTGCTGATAATTATGAAGTCTTGAAGTACTTTTGTGGTGAAGCTTTCCATATCCTTTAAGATAAGCACAACAGGAGGAGACTGCCATTGGCTAGACGTAGTCCTCTTTTTACTTGGCATTTTTGGATCTGTCTTCTTTTAAGTCATTGTGGAAAGAAGGAATTAAAAGTAAGCCTTACCACCCAAACAAGGCTATAATGCTAAATCATTTGGTTTATTTCCCTTTTCATTCCACTGACAGGTTTCTTTTATTTTACCATATAATAAAGAGAAATTCATTCCAACAGTTACTAATGGAATCTTTCTGTGTCTGACACGGGAATAATAATAAGAAAAAGGTTCAGTAAAATCTATAACTCATGAAGTATTTATATTTTCTGCTGAGACAATGATAAGAAAAACACAGGAAGAGGAGAAAATTTTCTACAAAATTGGGATTTCCTGTTGGTAGAAAGTATTTTTAATTAAAAAGCAAAACAAACATGTTACTTGCTGCTCTGCTATTGTGACTTTCAAGCTTGAAAGGGGCCCTAAATATCACCTAGCTCAATTTAGGTAACTAGAAATAGTGCTTGATTTCTGGAAAATCTGAAATTGTTGATAAAATGAAAATATTTTGGTAAGCATTAGACATAGTTTAGTCTCTATCTAAAGGAAAACAAATCTTCACTTATTACTTCAGCCAAAAAATGGACTGGAAAATATCACTACAGTATTTTCTGCCTATACTATCTGTTTACACAGCTTTATAGACGAAGGCTATAGTTTTACAGTGCAGTTACCTAGGAATTATCAATTTTCATTGAATTGTCAGACTAAAATTTAATTTTAGGCATCTATTTGGCAAAAACATTTTACTTAAAGAGCTGATTCCACATGAACTGTAAGAATGGAATTAAGAATTATATTTTTAAAAAATAACACTATTATTTCCCACAAGATTAGGTTGACAGCAGTACCTGATAGCCCGGTTCTATTGTACAAAAACAAATACAAAGAACTTAAAAGAGATAATATATTGCTAAAGATAGAATCTGAAACAGAACAAACTCTTGATATTTTCTTTTTGTCACTAGATGACATTCTCCAACAAATACAATGTCACTGTAGGAACTTAAGCCCTTACCAATTAGGCTGCATACTAGTAAAAGAACACTTTTAAATTCTAGTTGTCTTAGAAAAAAGTGCCACTAAGTTGATATCTAGTGGAGCATCAACATATGCTTCTTAAACAAAAAAAGTAGACCATTTAACACAATTCCTAGTCCCATCAGTCATACGCCAATTTTCTGGAAGAAAATCTTCAGTTTACCTTTGTGACAGTCATATACCAACTGGAAAGTGAATCCATTGAACAATGTGTCTTTTTTTGGGTGACCTGAATACTTTCCCCTTCTTTGGGTTTCATATCTACAGAGCAGTCCATTAACTGTGAGACCAACTTTTGCAAAAAATGTTTCATATCTGCAGAATATAAAAGAAAGTCTTATCTTCTCTTAAAACAAAATTAAAGTCCTTGAAACTTCTTGATCAGTTTATATTACATTAGTTGGGTAGAATACATCTTTTTATTATTTAATACCAATATAATTAAAGTAACATTTAACATAGTAAGTATTAAGGCTCAGTAGTAATATCTCCTTAATATTTAAATTTCATTAGCTAATATTAACTAGACCAAGTACGTGTATTATCTATAATGAAAGTACTATTTAAGTAAATATAAACATGTAAACTGTAATTTTTTTTTTTTTTTTAGACAGGGTGTTGCTATGTAACCCTGGCTGTCCTTGAACTCATGGCGATCCACCTGCTTCAGCCTCCCCAGTGCTGGATTATAGGCACGTGCCACCATGCCCAGAAATTTTTGGGAAATGATAGATACTTAAAAATTACACCAGACACAAAAGGATTTCAAAGTCCCTTAAAAAAATCATCAAAAATGTTATTTACATGAATTATCTTACTGATTACAAATCTTCATTATCCTTTTTAAAGACGTCTTTTGGGCTCTTAATTTCAATCAGTTTATTAATATGAGTAATATAAACACAGAAAAGTTTAGTATCAGTCCAAATCTAAACAAATTTTACTAAGTTACTAGTTTTTACTAAGTTTACTAGTTACACATTCTTTATGACTTGATGGCTTCAGATATTCAAGATCGGCGCTTCCAATAATTTATTTTTACCACAGCGGATTTTCAAAATAAGAAAATTACAGTAAATATGAACCTATAGAGTTTAATTTCTGTTGGGTTAAATAAGAGCTCACCATTTTCCAATTCTCAGCTCCCTGTTTCAAATCTTTATACATATTAAAATTTCACTGGGTTAAGGAATACATCTTGCAAAAATGCATGGATGACTCTTGGCAGTGAATCTAATACAGCATATGGCAGGAATGCAACCAGAATAAAGGCAGCAACATTTAGCAATAGTCAAGATTATTCTGAGGACCACTAAATCTCACCCTGACAAATATGTAGCACTGTGTTCTTCCCACAAGAAAGAGAATAAGAAGCTGAGAGAAAGAGGGGTGGCGGAGGGGAGGAAGAAAGAGGAGAGACAGAGAGGATCAGAATTATTATGTTAACATTTTACCAATGTAATTACAACATTTATAGTTTACCTGGACAATCTTTAGCTTGTAAAGAGACTACATACGGTGTAATATTATTCTGAAGGGCCTCTGTTAGACTTCTGAATATTAAATCATGATCTGTGACATTCACACCTATGGGACAATATTCAGTATTACATCATTATTTTTATTAATAATTTAACAACAAAAGATACTTAGCATATCAAGTATATTACAAGTAAAAATATTTTTTAAAACATGATTTGTAACAGAATCCAAGAAAATACACTGCATAAATGAAGAAATAGCCATTAATAACAGATTATCTAAAGGTACATGCTATATTGATGCTACGGTTTGAATTCTGAAGGCTCTGCAAAGGCCTACAATTGAAGGCTTGGCCCCTTGCTTGTAGCATTTACTAGACGGTAACAGAACTTTCAGAAGGTGGGACCTAGTGGAAGTCAGGTCACTAGGAGGATACTCTTAAAGGGGACATTGAGACCTTGGGTCCTTCATGTCTTTTTGTGCTCCCCAGCTGCCACAAGTGAGTAGTTTCACTCTACCATAAGCTTGGCCATGATATATTGCCTCAGAATGGGCCCAAAAGCAACAAGTCAAATGACCAAGTACTAAAACTTCTGAAACCATAAGTGAAAATAAGTGTTTCTTCCCTATAAATTGAGTATTGTAAGCATTCTGTCACAGAATCAGAAAGCTAACACAACTGATGTGTCCAGAAAGGCATTTAGCATAATTTTTTCTTAAAAATAATTTACTAAGGATGTGTAGCTGACCTCTGAAGGTATCTTAGGAGTAATTTCATTACTTTCTCAAATTAATAAAGAGTTCTTTAGTCATTCAAATGTAAGGGTTCAGGTGGGCGTGGTGGCGCACACCTGTAATCCCAGCACTTAGGAGGCTGAGGCAGGAGGATCGCTGTGAGTTTGAGACCAGCCTGAGCTACATAGTGAGTTCCAGGTCAGTATCAACCTCATAGTAAGACTTTGTCTCAAAAAAACAAAAAACAAACAAAGAAAAAAAAACAAAACAAAAAACCAAATGTAAGGGTTCACTATGGAATCTAGCCTTATCCTTAAGCTAATTTAATAACAGGTGAATCCAACCATAACATGAATAACAATTATAGTACGAAGAAGGTAAAGTGTATACTAAGCTGATTTCTGCAAGAAGAGTAAAACTGAAACTGCAAAGTTTTGGTATTTATCAAACTCATTTTCATTTCTACAAATCAGTTTTAGAATTACTTTACACAGTTAATCTAAGTTGGGTAGAAATTTCGCCAATACTTTGGGAATAATGTTGCTGATACCTTCCCTAGCATAACAATCTGTGATTTCTGGACAGGTTTTTGGCACATAGCAGTTATCAGCAGTATTTACACATCTTCAAACTGCTTGACACCTTTTGTTGTTAAAATTTCCATTACTTGGGGGGAAAAAAAAAGGAAATTTCAAAATCATTCATGCCAGCAATACATTTTCCCAGGAAAGCAAAAAACTAAATATTATCACAGATCATTCTTTTCTGTTTTTCAATTTCTTCCTATTACCAGCAGACTATATTTGACTATGTTCATGGGCCCAGTGAAGAAGGAAGTTGTGCAACTGCGCTCATATCCTGTACAAAATACTTTTATGGAATCATACTATTTTATAAGCCATGATTGTAATAATTCATCTTTGAAAAAAATTGGGAGTTCAGTGAAACACTGGCTTATCTCGTCTTTTATAAATTGATTTCAAAAAAGCTATTTAATTTTTTTTTTCCTTCTGCCTCAGCCTTTCAAGTGCTGGTATTACATGTATGCACTACCACTGCTGGGCAGCATTATGTTTCTTAAACAATAGATCTGTTGCAAACAAGATAATCACAAAGTCCTTTGCTGGAAAAAAAAAATTCTCAGACCATATTTTGAAAAATGTGATTTCTATTAAGTTTCTGTTTTCTTTTTTGGCAACAGGAGAACAGGTCCTTAAACCTCTCACAACTACTTATCTTTTTGGGGGGAGTTGAGAGAGGGACTCACTATGTACATGAGACTGATCTGGAACTCACTATGTAGCCCAGGCTGGTCTCGAAATGCAGTGATTCTACTGCCTCAGCCTCCCGAGTGCTGGGACTACAGGCATGCGCCACCATGTCTGCCTTATCTTCTTCATTGTGCCTCAACCTACTTCCAATTGCTGTAACCTGGCAGCACAGAAACAAACTACCCAACAGTACAAATGAGCTATCCATAAATGGAAGCAGGGTTTAAAATTATATGGCAGGCTGCCTTGGAAAATTGGTCCAAAACATAAAATTCACTCCACTGAGTCTTATTTCTCAGAGTGGTACTGGGCATCAGCTGCAAGGTTATTAGAATTGCAAGAGTCAGGCCTCACCCTACACCTAATTAACAAAAATCTGCATTTTTAATGAGACTCTCTCTGGTTCTTTGATACAAATTAAAGTTTGAGAAGTATTGTCCTGAATATAAGAGTAAGAAGTAACAAACAGAATTAGAAATGGTATTAAAAGAGAATTTCTTATCTCAGAGTCTACTAGTCAAACTACTATTTTTGCTCTAAATTAATAACAAATTTGAAGTGAAATGAAAAGTGTGCTTGGAATCCAAATAAATTCTGCTTTGTCTTTCAAAAGGACTAAAAAAAAATTTGCAGGGATAAGGGTATATAACTGACAGAAAACATTTTCAGCATGCTTGAGACCTTGAGTTCATCCCCATTAACCTCCTACACCTCCAAAAATGGTCAAAAGGGAAAAGAAAAAGAAATGCGCTAATATTCCAAGGGCCTTTTCTGTATATAGTTCATCCAAAACCTTTCCTAGGCAAAATTAATATAATAATCTGAATTGAAAAACTAAGCACAGGGAAGTAAAATTTAAAAATTATATTAGTGATTTCTTTATTGCCCAATCCAAAACTTGTATTAATGTCATAATACACACAAGGAAGAAAGGATAAAAGCAGTACAACTCCTCTTCTGACAATAAACTGAACAAAATACTTACTGGAAATTGTGAAAGGGGGAGGAGGGAAAAGGGAAAAAAATCGATAAAAGAAGGAAAAAATGGAAACAAAGCTATCAGAAATAGGGAGGGTTGAAGAGAGGGAAGAGGAATGGAAGAAAAAGGAATCAAACTATATCATGTACTGATGAATGTATATTATGTATATTTAAATTATACCAATAAAATAGATAAAAATAAGAAAAAAATTTACATTTGCATGATTAGTATAATGAATTTTTATTGGTTTTAAAGTATGCAAACTATAGTTTAATTCTATAAACAAAAGATACAAAAAAAGAGATTTGAAAAAGTTATTATTTACTATTCTCAACAATAAAAACCAATAAGAAATGCATGAATGCAAAAACAGATATATACATACCAAGAATAAGAGCAGCTGTTGGAATTTCTTTAAGTTTTATCTGACAGGCCCAGTCTCTTGAATTCTTCTGAAATCCAGAATGAGACTTTTGCAGAAATTCAATCAGATTGTCAAACAGGTTTTTATTTAACTCCTCCTGTAGTTGCTGTAAAGCAAAATACTTTATGAGTTACTACCATCAGTAGCATTCTGATGTATCTTTCCTAGTGTAAGGAAGTTTCAAATTTTCTTTTCCTTTGAACATTCAGTGACTTTAATCTATGAAATAAACTGGAAAAATAATAAGGAGGAAAGAAAGCGTACATATGCGCTAAGGGAAGAGATTTAAAGAAAAAACTTATCATTTTCATATTTCTAAGTGAGCCACACATAAAATAAGACTCAAAGAAAGGGCAAGATGGTTGAAGCCTAAATTACATTTTGGGTTACAGAAACAGGAACTTAGAGATAATGAGGGAGGGATAACAGGGTGGGAATGTAGCAACAACACATATTACAGAAGGTTAGGTGGAACATGGACCAAACAAAGGAGGTTGGAGGAGGAGGATCACAAATTCTAAACCAGCATAGGGAGCTTAGTAAGGCCTTGTCTAAAAGTAAAATAAAAAGGCTGGGGATTTGGCTCAGTGGTTTCACAGTCTGCCTTGCAAATGCAAGGGCCCGAGTTCGATTGCTGGTACCACAAAAAAAAAAAAAAAAAAAAAAAAACACAAAAAAAAAAAAAAAAAAAAGCAAAACATCAAAAGTAAAATAAAAAGGATCAGGGAAGTTGCTCAGTGGTAGAATGCTTGCCTAGCCGCCTGTGCCAGGTCCCGACCCAGCCTCAACAGGAGGGGAAGAAAAAGGAATAAAGAAAAGAAAAAGAAGGCATCTATATGGCAATCTCCTTTGGCACTACCCTTAAACTTTTTCTTATGAAAAGTTCTTTCCTAGGTAAATATGAGATATGAGATAGAAAAGCTTCTGACTTCACCCACTCTACTAATGTTGGTAGATGTAAATTTCTTTTCGCAAATAGTTTTTCAGAGACATTCCTATGTGTGTAACATCCTGGAATAGCCATCTGGAAATGTGAAGAAGTATATTTTGGGGTGAACTTTTTGATCTCCCTTACTAGTTTTGGAAAAATATTTGTCATGGATTCAATTCAAAGATTACATGTAAAATGGTAAAGAGATGGATAAAATATAAAACAAGTTTTTTCCCTTAAATCTCTAACAACAGTGCTTTGTACTTGTTCATTAAAAATTACTCTCAGTAGATATGACTCTGATGAGGTGAAGAAGAGCACCAGGGAAGGGTAAAGAAACAGGGAAGGCACAATGGGGATGAAAATTATTGAAGTATGTAATGTGCATGTACCAAAATGAAACACATACCAAACAGTATACCAAAATGAAACACATTATTCTGTATTACTAATATGTACTAGTAAAAACTTCCTTCATTTATTCATTTAAGTTACTAATCCCCTTATGAACGCCAACCTCTACTTTAAAAAAGTAATCAGACAAGAAGACATAATTAAAATGCAAGGTGGTAAAAAAGCCAAGTGTAGGACCATCTAAGCTACGCAGGTAGTGCATTAGACCCAAAGCATCAGCAAGTGATATCGGTAAAAGGAAGAAAAGTTAAATTAGAAGAAATGGGGAGTTAGGGAGGAATAAAAGCACCAATAATCTGGAAAACCACAGATACAGATAAAGTTAAAAAAAAAAAAAACCTGAGAAATGTAGGAACAAGGCTAGACAACTATGTAAAAATTTAGGCCAAGAAAAAAATATATATACGGTGCTAGATTTTGGATTTTTTTTCTAGTGGGGAGAGCCACTGAAAGGATATGAAGGAAACATGATTAAATCAGGGTTAAGAAGGGTTAGTCTGGGGCCAGGGACTTAGCTCAGTGGTGCCACAGCCTGCCTTGCAAGTGTAAGGTCCTGAGTTCAATCCCTGATACTAACCAAACCAAATAAAAAGTAAAAAAAAAAAAACCTGAGAAATGTAGGAACAAGGCTAGACAACTATGTAAAAATTTAGGCCAAGAAAAAAATATATATACGGTGCTAGATTTTGGATTTTTTTTCTAGTGGGGAGAGCCACTGAAAGGATATGAAGGAAACATGATTAAATCAGGGTTAAGAAGGGTTAGTCTGGGGCCAGGGACTTAGCTCAGTGGTGCCACAGCCTGCCTTGCAAGTGTAAGGTCCTGAGTTCAATCCCTGATACTAACCAAACCAAACCAACCAAACAAACAAACAAACAAAACAAAACAAAGAAGGGTTAGTCTGGCAGCACTATGAAGCCAGAATAAAGGATCAGCAAGGCTTTACTGACAAAGGGAGGTATAAAAACGTATGGTACACAATGAAGGTAGTCCTAAGAGGGAATTTTATAGCTGTGATATGCCACATCAGAAAAACAGCAAGCTCAAATAAATAACCCACTGATGCACCTTAAGATACTAGAAAAACAAGAACCACCCAAACCCAAAGAAGGAAATTATAAAGAGGAGAGCAAAAAACAATGAAATTGAAACTAAAATACAAAAAACAGAAAAACTCAATAGCAAAGTTGGTTCTTTGAAAAATTAAACAAAATAGACAAACTCCAAGCCAATCTTACCAAAATAAAGAAAAGACACAAATCTATGCTATTAGAAAAGAGAAAAATGAAATCACAATAGATTCTGCTGAAAAACAAAAGGTCACTGGTAACTACTTGAGAAACTGTACTCTACTAAAATGGAACAGTCAGAAGAACCGGACAAATTCCTAAACCTTGTGAACTCCCAAAGCTCAACAACAACAACAACACAACAACAACAAATATATCTCCTGAATAATTCAGTATTAGTGAAACTGAAGAAATTAAAACAAACAAACAAACAAACACCTACCATCCAAGAAAAGCCCAAGTTCTGGTACATTCACGGATGAATTTCAAAGAACTTTAGATAACTTATGCTAATATTCAAACTCTTCAATGAAATGAAAAGAGAAGCAGTTTCCCCAAAGTCATTCTTGGAATTAAGCATTAGCCTGATTCCAAAAACAGAAAAGGATCCAACCAAAAAAAAAGAACTATAGGTCTACCTCTTTAATGAACATACATTACATATGGTACAATCCTGAGTACAATCCTGTACTTCAAGTTATACTGCATTACAAAGCTAGAGTGATTAAAAACAGGATAATATTGGCAAAAACAAAAACAAAAACAAAATAAAAAAAAAAACCCAGACTAGGGATGGAGGTTTTAGCTCAGTGGCAGTGCACCTGTTTCACAAAGTGCAAGGTCCTAAGTTTGATCCCTGGAACTGGAAAAAAAAAAGAAAGAAAGGGATGGGAATGTAGCTCAGTGGTGCTGTGCCTGCCCGACAAGTGCAAGGTCCTGAGTTCCATACCCGGTACAAAAAACAAACACACACACACACACACCAGACTTGTGGATCAAAGGAACAGAACAGAAACAACTCCAGACAAACTCTGCTACCTTGTCTTTGACAAAAGGGCCAAATAACTTCTCTGAAGGAAAGATAGCCTCTTTAACAAATGGTGCTGGAAAAAGTAGCTATCTCCATTGTTGGTAGGACTGTAAATTGATACAACCATTATGGAAATCAGTATGAAGATTTCTCAAACAATTAAAAACAGAAATTCCCTTTGACCCAGCTATTCACCTAGGCATTATTCCAAGAGTTAAAGACATCATATTACAGTGATACATGCACACCCATACCTATAGCTGCACAGTTGATAATAGCTAAATCTTGGAAGCAGCCTAAATGCCCATCAAAAGATGAATGGATAAAGACAATGTGGTATATATATATATATAATGGAGTATACTCTGCCACAAAAAAAGATAAAACTTGAGGTATTTATAGGGAAATAGATGCACATTAAGACTATAATGGTCAGTGAAGTAAATCAGACACACAAGCTTAAACATTGCATGGGTTCTCTTATAGAAGAAAGTGAATATATAAATAAAGTAAAAAAAAAGACAGAACAGGAAAAAAAAGAAAGAAATAAAGTTACTGTAAAGCCAGGTGTGGTGGCGCATGCCTGTAATTTCAGCACTCAGGAGGCTCAGGAAGAAATGCTGTGAATTCAAGGCTGGCCTCAGCAAGGCCCTGTCTCCAAAAAAAGGTTGCTGCATCCCAGCATGAACAAGGTATTTAATAGTGTATCTTGATTTAGTATAACTGTCTTACTTATTTTGTATTTTTAAGGTTTTATAAGATAAATAAATGAATCTGATGTTGGCAAAGGGGGAAAGCATACGGGGGGTAAAAAGAATTGAGATGTGTTATGTACATGTACCAATTCCCTACAATGAATGTAATCATTATATACTGCAGACATATACTAGTAAAAAAAAAAATCAAAAACTTCTGTAACCTGGCATAGGGCTGGATTTGCCTGAAGGGGGGACTTTCCCAAAGGGACTAATCTTGCCAAATGAGCTAATGGCAGATCAGAAAGGTATGGCAGGGGAAAAATATGATGATCCAGGTTAAGGAATGAAGAGGGTTAAACTGGAAACCAAACTCAAATCATTTCAAGGATCCCACAGGATACATGAATGAACAAAGTTGCTAGGTATAAAACTGAAACTGGGGAGAAGTAAAAATAAACGTGAAAATACATAATTCTCCCCAAAGCATTAAAAAAGAAAGCTATTAACAATGTACTGGTCAAACAAAACGTCAGCTCATGATGTTGGCCCTAGACCTACCAACTTGCTATGCTGAAGAAATTTTTCAGAGGTGGAACAAAAAGAAGAATGTAACAAGATGTGAGGATGCAGAAGTAAAGGAGTTTAGAATAGCTTTATTTCATAGTTGCGTAAATTGTTAACTGAATGGATAATTTAAAACTGCTGCCACTGAAACAAATATTCTTTGCCTTAGTAGCTAGCACATCCTAGTACCTTAAGCCACACTTAATATTTGGAACTTGAGTTTTTGTTTTGCTTTTTCAGGATATTACAGATTGTGCTTGACCAATAGTTCCCATATTTTAATAAAGTTTACTCTTGTAAAGTGATGGAAAGTAACAGACATAAGATTTACAGAATTAGAGCAAGGTAAACAAAACAATATTCACCTCAGTTTCTGATTTCATCTGTTGCCATATCCAGTGGTAAGTTTCAAATCGAAGCTTACTGTCTTCAGACTCATTTATCCCTTTATTAAAATAGTCCTCTAAAAACACAGAAAGAAGTCAGTTTTTTTTTTTACATAGCAGAAGTTGGAAACTGTAAAAAGCCACAAAATAAGTAATGGGGTTAATTTTTTTTTCTGTTCATCAAAAAAATGTAACATTCATATTCTTTGTGTTTAATTTCATATATATGTTAGTTTTTACCATATTAAATATATCTTAAAACTTAAAACATCTTAATTGTTGGATTGTATTTCTATCCTTTACTTTTGAATTTCTAGCAGTTTGTATTTAATGGCTTTTGGGTTAAAGTATGTACATATTTTTCATTATTTGCCTTATCCCTATGGCCTCATACGTTGCTTTATATATTCGCTTTCAAGTCTTCTTGATTAAATGACTCTTCAAACTACTATTCTTATATTTTTATTCCACTGTCATAGTTGTCTTTTATTTAGCCTATATTATTTTCTACACTATTTTTTTCCAAATGTCCTTTGATAACAAACCTTTTATTACTATGGTGTACAAATTTTTGAAACCATGATTCACATTAAAGAATATTTTATATCATGATATAACATACACACACTTAATAAAAACAAAAAAGTTACACAGAACAATCTTATCCTTCTTAAGTGATAGCAAATGTTTTGTTTCATGGCCCACTACAATGATTTGATAACTAACATGTAGGTTGTGACCTGCTGTTTGAAAAACCACTCATTAGAGTAATCTAGACTCTCCTGAACTAATCCTTTTCAGTGTAAATACTTAAATATACTTGGAACTACTTGGTGTTTGTTTGGTTTGGGGTTGTTGAGGCGTGGTCTCACTATGTAGTTCAGCTGGCCTTGAACTCACTATGTAGCTCAGGCTCACAGTGATCCTCAAACTCAGTGATCATGTTGCCTCTGAGTGCTAGGATTATAAGTACGCACCACCACATCTGGCCGACTTGGAACTATTTTTGAACTCTAATTTTTGTTCTACTAAATTCGATTCTATGCCCACATCAATATCGATCTGTTTAAATAATTATAGCTTTTATACAAGGGTTGACCAAATTTTCAAGTTTATTGCAGGAAAAGATGCACTGTCAAAAGTGATGATAGTTGGCCCTGGGATTTAGCTCAGTGGTTCCACCGCCTGCCTCTCAAGTGCAAGGACCCAAGTTCGATCCCCAGTACAAAAAAGAGTGATGATAGGTAAATGTGTTTGAAGTCAGGGGGAATATTTTGAGGGGAATTAATGGCAATGTCTTTTACTTCAGTGAATTTTTAAATTTAAACATTCAAAGTAATTTTTGATCACCCCTGTTGATCAACCATTTAGCCAATTTTTGTCAAACAAAAACATTAATGTGTCTCCTCATCCATCTTACTCACCCACCATGTTACTTCTGCTTCTCCCCCAAAGTCAAAATGACCATGAAAGGTAATTTTTTTTGGTACTGCGGATCAGGTGGCAAAACCACTGAGCTAAATCCCTGGCCAAAGGGTAAATATTTTTAATTTTTTCAGGACACCAAAGCAGTTACAGTATGTAACTAAAGGTACTCATGAAAGGAATGCCAGAACTGTTTCTTAAACTGACAAGAATGATGGACTGTGTTCAAAGTGAAGGGTAATATTTTGAGGGAGAGTAACAGTAATGTTTTACTTTAATAAAACATTTTTAAATTTAAACACTGACCATGTTTTGATCATATTGCATGTTAGTGACAATTAATACAAATTCTTTCCCTGCCACCAAAATTTTTCTTTTTTAAAAAAATCATAGACTAACTTGTTAAGTTATTTTTATGATAATTATGTCACTTTTCCAAATACTTACTGTCATTCTGATTAAATAAAGTCAAGCTTATAAATTGGGAGAAAAATAACACCTTTAAAATATTTTTAAAAACTGACACACAAGAATATTACAGATCTCTTCCTTCAAATATTTTACATTCCTTATAGTTTTCTTTCCTTCATATTTTTTATTGTATAATGCTAGATATACAAAAGCTATGCAAAAGCTACAGCTTTCAAAGTATTACATTTCTTCTTTAGAATTTTATAATCAAGTTTAGTGTTTATAGTGTGGAAAAGAAAATTCTCTTTCATGTTAAGGAACTTTCCTTTTAATCATAGTCAATTCAATTTTTAAATATTGATTTTTGGGGGTGAGGTTTGAGACAAAGTCTCACTTTGTAGTTCAAGCTGGCCTCAAACTTGTGGCAATCCTCCTACCTCAGCCTCCTGAGTGCTGTGACTACAGGTATGCACCACAATGCCCCCCTCTAAGTACTGATTTTTAATTGTATCAAACATCTTAGAATATACCAATCTTCAAGTGGTAAAACAGCAAAGGTATAATATTAAAATGCAAACAAACAAAAAAAGTAAAGAGAAAATATTAGTAAGAGACAAAACAGAGTAATAAGGGAAGCTTAAACAGAACAAAAATCACTTTATATTGATAATGGGAAGAATCATAACTAAAATGTTAAATGTCAATCAAGATGAATTGTTGCATGCAGAATAATGCTGTATCAACATACATACTGATGGTGGCCTGCCTTGCAAGCGCAAAGACCTGAGTTCAATCCCCGGTACCAAAAAAATAAAAAATAAAAAATAAAAAAATAAAAAAAATAATGAAAAACTCTTAGAAATTGAGAACAATAGCAGTAAGATACTGTAACTTATTACTGTGTTTTCACTCAGACTTTTATTGGTCAGGTTGGTAAAAAATAAGTATGTAAGCACTGAGAGGAGCTAATGAAAGTAAATCTCATTGCTGTCCTCGTGCTTCATTTCAGCATGACCATACTATATCATGCCATACCAGCACTTGTGCCAGTCCCTCTGTCTAGTTCATGCCCAGTTGTTTTGTTGGTTGTGCAGTCATCCACAGAATACTGAGACGGAGTTGTCAGTCTTAGGGACATCCCCAAGCAACAAGTCGGGACAGATGACAGGCAAAGTGCAGAGCATCTTTCTACTTCGCCAGGCAATCTATTTCATGAACTAAAGTCAGTGAAGGTTAAGTGCTAAGAAGTGGATATGTTTTCCTCACTCCTATTCCATCTGTTTTATAATCAGGGTCAATTTCTCCAAGATTTTCATATTGTATTTTGATTGGTCTTAGATTTGCACACACTCTCAAAACCTAAAAATTCTAAAGCAAAGTTCTAATTATATAATTGGGCACATAAGGTTTACTGATACTAAAAACTATAAATAAATCTTTTTTTTTTTTTTTTTGAGGCAGAGTCTCACTATGTAGTTAAGACTGACCTGGAACTCACTATGTAGCCCAGGCTGGTCTTGAACTCACAGCAATCCTCCTCCCTCAACCTGCCAAGTGCTAGGATTATAGACATGTGCCACCACGCCTGGCGTAAAAACTATAAATAAATCTTAATAAATTCTAGCTGAAATTCAACATAAAAAGTTCTGAGCAAGTATGTGCCTTGTATTTTAAGAGGTGGTATTAAACAGAGGTTAGACCTTGGGTGCTGGAATCCGACAGGTTGGGCTCAGACCCTTCTTCTACCACTTTCAGCATTACAAAACTGAGAAAGTGCTATGTATTAGTTACTTTTCTCTCATTGCTGAGACAAAATACCCAACACCCAAAGTTAGAGGGAAGGGGTTATCTGGCTTACAGTTCATAGAGGTTTTGTCCATAATCACTGACTCTAAGGCAAGGAGGGCAAAGAGGCTTTAAAGAGGAGAAACAATATGGAACACACATAACAAAGGCAACAAGGGACCTTCACTGCATCTTTTGCCTCTTTCTTCCCATCCAGACTACCAGGATTAGGGCAGTGCTAAACCACTCATTCAAATGTAGTATTTTAATACTCACACGCCCTTAATCCCAGCATCCCACATTCCAGATTGTAGAATGTTATCTCTGACCAAATGAGGCCCTGGGGGATATCCAGACTGAAACCATAATGTGCTCTTTGCACATTTTTTTTTTCTTTGAATTTATTGGTACATTTTAGGTATACAGTACAGTTACATTCATTGTTGGGATCTTGTACCTCTATATGACAGGCATTGGTTCTCATTTTTTCCCCTTGTCCCTGCCCTCCCTTCACTCCCTCCTCCCCTCCCCATCTACAAACACTTTATTTCCATCTTTTCATTATCTCACATTTTTTCTTTTCCCTTATTACCATTCCCCTACCCATCCCACCTTCCCTACATCTCCGGCCCATTTTTTGCTTTTTTTGGGGGGGTGGTACTGGAGATCGCACTCGGATGCTTGTGCTTTCAAGGCAGTCGATGGAACCACTGAGCTAAATCCCCAGCCAAGCTTGTTATGTTCTGATACAAGTATATCCTCACTTCAACATAAGAGAACATTTCTATCACTACAAGAAGTTTCCTTTTGCCTTCTGGTAATCAACTTCCCCTACTTCATCCCAGGACACTACTGAGATTTTTAAAGAAAATCTATTTAATTAAAAAAAAAAATCAGTGTCTTCTCCTACCAATATAGGTACCAGATTGAGTGATTAAAATTTACTCCCTTAATGCATATGTGGATCAGTAAATGATTAAAACTCATTCCCCTAATAATTTAGTTTCTTTTAGTTGTGATAAAGAGTGAGATCAGTGTTAAACCCCTGTGTGCATAAAAGGATGAAAAATGCAAACTGGTGGAAAGGGTGTAACGATTAAAAGGCAGTGAATACAGCTGACTTGAAAACATTTAGCAGATCCAAGAGCAGAATGTCTTTTACTGCTCATTCTTGGCTTTTTATCCTTTCCCTTGGGCTACCAAGAGATGGGAGTATCAGAAGAACTACAAGGCTAAGGTAGTAACAGTCTATGGTAGCACAAGGTATTTATTAGTTTCACAAAGTCCTGCATGTTAGTTTTTAGGGGCACAGAATGAGAATAAGAATAGATTTAATAAGACAGTCTTGGCCCTCATTTTATTTATTTATTTATTTTTTGGTACTGGGGATTGAACTAGGGTCCTCATGCTTTCAAGGCAGGCGGCAGAACCACTCAGCTAAATGCCTGGCCCTTGACTCTCATTTTATAAGATGAAGAGAACTAGGGAAAGGCTGAACAACAGGGCTAGTTAAGGTCAGGATCATTTTCCTTGTTCAATTAGTTCTAATGATTCCATAAATGTGTGCTTCCACAACCTGGGAGAATTACTGTAAGATTTAGAGCAAGATGTGCCAATGTATGATGCCTGCAACACCAGCTACATAGGAGGCTGGGGAAGGAAGATCCCAAATTTGATCCCAGTCTGAGCAAGTTAGTAAGGCTCTGTCTCAAAATAAAATAGAAAGGGCTGTAGCAAAAGAAAAAAAAAAGACCCAGGACCTTGGGCTTTTTTCCTCAACATGTACTGGTGTACACAGCACTCATCCCTAAACTGGAACACACAACATCCTATTTAACATTTGTGTAGTTACTAAAGCCATCATTATATGTTCTACAGGATGATTTTGCTTTATAGTGCGAAGTTTATTCATAAAATGGAAAGCTACATCAAACTTTTAAGCATGTTCAAATTTCCCCATAAACACCATGTATTTAATCCATGAATAATTTTTACAATTTTCACTAGAAATATGTACATTTGTACCCTTTTCTATTGTAATTTTCCATGTATTACTAAATATTTTATTTGCTACATGTATTATTCCCATTGGTAGAAATCTATGTTACTAAACAGCATTTTAGTAAAAATGTTTTGATTCTTTGATCAGGCATCAGTATACTTTTCAAGCAGAAAATCACTTTCGTTTTCATTTCTAAAATTGTACATTAAAAAACAAAAACAGAGAAATCATCAAAATAAACTTATTTTCCAATCTGCCTTTTTGAAGATATGTCTATATTCCCTTTGGGAACACAACCCTGAGTGTACCTTTATTCTTTTAACCAATGCCTTGGAATGTAACGTTTACATCAACATGGTAAACAAGTCAGCTTAGAAAAGAGAATTATTAAATTCAATTAGGATTAGTTTTTCAAGTTTAAGAAGACTAGGACGAAGAAAAAGTAATAAATTTCATGTTAAGAAACCTTACCACCGAATAGTTTCTCTGGTGTGAATAAAGTGTAATAGTACATAAGATCCTAATGAGATAACTGACATTGTGAAATGGGAAGAAAAGGGCTAAAGGTGTAGGGAAGGTGGAATGGCTAGAGGAAGGGAAAAGAAAAAAATGTGAGAAAATGAAAAGATAGAAATAAAGTGTTTGTAAATGGGGAGGCGAGGAGCGGGGTGAAGGGAGGGCAAGGACAAGGGGAAAAAATGAGAACCAAGACCTGTCATGTAGAGGTACAAGATCCCAACAATGAATGTAACTGTACTGTATACCTAAAATGTACCAATAAACTCAATTAAAAAAAAAAAAAGAAACCTTACCTGTTGATACAGAGATCTTTCTCTTCTTGAAGTTTGGTTTAAACACAAAACAGCCCTATGAAATAAAGAAAAAAGCGTAAAGTCAAAATAGTTAAGGAATAAGCTTACAAAAATGATTAACCAAATATTTTATGAATTTTTTTTTTTTATTTAAGTACCAAGCTAACCGATTGCACCACTGGAGCTCAATGAATATATTTTTTTTAAAGGGGAGGTAAGAGACGTTTCTTTCAGGACCTAAGAAATCACATCACTTTTCTCTGAATTAAAGAAGTAAAAATATTAAACTACTATTTATTTCTTTACCCTTCCTCCCATGGGATGCTGTTACAGACTTTTGGTTTTTGCTCTGTGGGACCTGCGGCTACAGGCAAACAAAGAAAATAAAAGCTGATGCAATTTAATTCCATTAAGGTTCCATTTTTATTAAATGGGAGAAATAACACTAATACTACATATTAAAAATGAAGTTCAAGAAGGGTGATAACAGTGACATTCTTCAATTTAAAAAAGTATTAAGTAAACTCTAAGCATCTTGTAGAATCTTGATAGGAAACATAATTTTGGCTATGGTTTCACCCTACATTTTCTTTCAACTGATAAATTCTTATTTATTTATCCATTAAAACTGGACTGAAAATTCACATTTTCTGGGAAACCTTCCCTAACTCTCTAGTCAGAAATGCTCTGACATCTCACAGTATTTGAACATAATTATTTCTCTGTTTCAAATCACTTTCATTGTATTATCATTGTATTATGGATCTGTCTCTCCAAGTAGACTGTGAGCAACTTCAGAGTACACATTGTATTTTATTTATAAACATTTCCCTAATGTTTAGGACAACACTAACATGTACATTTAGTAATAAGCATACAGAATGAATGCTTATCAAGTAATTTTCCTGGCCATATTTAGTTTTTATAGTATCAAATTGGACTGTGGTACATTGTCTCCAGAAGTTACTGGTTGGTCCTAGTGCATCCTACTAAACTTAAAGCTGTATTTTATGGATAGCTTCTTAAAGATTTTCATTGATGCAAAAGATTTTTAAAAAGGATGAGAAATATACATATAAAATGTCATCTCCGGATAGTGTTAAAAAAAAAAAAAAAGGCAGTTCTGCAAAATATAAAGTGCTCATTTGGGTCGTAATTTCCAAATTAAGAATTGTGCCTTATATTCTTATATGTACAACTAATAAAATTTTATGAAACACGTACATATTTATAAAAACCACTTGGTAACATGACAAGCTTTTCAGTGAATCCTTTCCATATAAATCTGTAATTCAAGAAAGGAAAGAGCAAGATACGACGAGTCCCCAGAATGGACCCTAATACAAGGGAATGATCGCAATATGATTATAACCACTTTGAACTGCTGGTCAAGTAATGGTGTGTGCAATGAAGAAAGAACATCTAGGAGGATGGCCAACAGAAAATTTCATGAGGAAAGAGAAATATAAATACTTAAGAATGATCCTTAAATGTTCTTACTTTTGTACAGTATATTTCATAATCTCCCAATACAGCCATTTATGTTGTAACATCAGAAATACTTTCCTGAAAAAAAACTAATGTTCTGCAAGATACACACATATACATGGTGTTACGCAACAATAGGATTGGAAGATAGACCACTCAAAACCTATGGAACTTTATAGCCATAAAAATAAACAGTAATACTCCTGATAAAAACACAAGTACAGTTAAATCTCTTCTGGCTTTTTATCAAGCATCACAGTCTTTAATGCTTCAAAACTTTAAACTCAGGACTGTACATATTCCTTGAGATAGTTTTGGAAAACACTGCAGACTATTTTAATCAAAATTAAAAATTGGATCCCTAGTTTAGCTTTCATCAATCCCTTGCTGGAACACAGGGAGAAAAAGAAGCCTTGACAAATTCTGCATTTTCAGTTTCATCAGCAAACTTAACTTCAGGGGTTTCCTATTGTATACTTCTCAGCCTTTTGGCTAAAATCGAGTTTAAAGGACAACCAAAGGCCTTACTTTTACATGACCCAGAGCAGCACAATCCAAAAGAACTCCCTGCAATGATGGAAATGTCACATATCTTCTCTGGTACAGTAGCCATTGTTGTGAGTGGTTAAGTGTTTGGAATGTGGCCAGTGCAACTGAGGAACTGAATTTTAAATTTTATTATAATTCAAATTTAAATAGCCATGTGTGGTTAGTGGATACTACACTTGGCAATGCAACTTTAGGATTTATTTTCTCAAGAGTCTTGCTTTGTAGTTTACGCTGTCCTTGAACTCACTGTATAGCCCAGGCTGATCTCAAACTCTTGGTAATTCTTTTGCCTCAGTCTCCTGAGCACTGGGATTATAGGCGTAAACCACTACGCCCCGCATTTTTTTTACCAATTATACTTTGACTTGCAATCCCTTGCCATCTAGGCTGCCCATATGAAGAGGGTTCATATATGATTTAACCCACTCCAACAAACATATATCTGCGTTTCATTTTTATACTCATTTGACCTAAAGTTCCTATTCTATCTCTACCCTCTAGAGATTATACTGACTTTCCAACTTCTTTAATATGCCACTTTACTTCATGTTATTATCTCTGCTGTTCATGGAACCCTGTGCCAAACTCATTTTTCAGGTCTCAACTAAAATGTCACTTTCTCCAAAAAGCCTTCACTGACCCTTACCAATCTACATAAAGCTCCTCCCTCTTTTCTTTTTCTTCCTGTTCACATTGTCATGATTTATGAGCATCTGCTTATTAATATTTTTCTTTCTTATAGGAAGTCTTTTTTTTTTTTTTT